ACCAGGAGCCTCAGGAGTCACGGCCGAATGTAGTGTGCTGTCCCGGATAAAACCCGAGGAAATCTGAATAACGACTGGACTTTTGTTAATAATTTGTTCGTTATTATTTTATCGGTCCATTAATTGTCACCAGTGTACCATACCGGTGTAAGACAGTTGAAGGAACACGGCGTTCACTGTCGGGGGGCAGGGGGGGGGTGTCTGCTCAGGAATGAACCCCAGGAAGCAGGGCTTACACGGCCCTTGCTGCCTGTGGAAGGATACAGAGAAGGCCCAGCTTCCCACAGAGCCCCGGCTGAGGCAAGGGGGTCCGGGGGGACCTCGCAGAAGTCAGAGCCGGCCCAGCCTGAAAGAAGGTGCTTTCTGCCACAGTCAGGCCATCGGCAGAGGGTGGACGAGCACAGCCTCCGACCAGTCCTGACATAGTGTTGGCTTGTGACTGAAAGTATGGAATACGCGTCGTGAGTCCGCTGATAGATGACAGGCAGACAGCTCGCCTGGGCGGAAGAACCCCAAGTCGGTTCTGTAGAGGCTCCGCCCACAGGGAGGTGGAGCTTAACTCCTGGCCCTTTAAGTGCGGCGTGACTTCTTTGCAGAGACGCAGTGAGGAAGGAGTGGGGGAGTACCGAGGAGGGACCTGACAGCTGCTACCTGAGCCAGATAATCCAGGTGATGAGTCATGTTGACAGCAGGTAGCCTTGATGTGGCAGGCTGAGGTGGCATTTTACCTTATGGTCTTCCTCCCAAAACACAGAACCCCAGGATTGAGATCATGAGAAAAACCTGCAAATCCGAACTGTGGGCCAGTCCACAGAACACCTGCCCGCTTCTCCTCCAGGCATCAAGTTCATCAGAGACAAGGGTGGCCCGAGAAACCGACACAGCCTGGGGAAGCCTGAAAAGCGTGATGGCTGAACGTGCCCTCCCCTGGGGTCCTGGAGCAGAGAAGGGCCATCAGGGGAAGGCCCCGGAAGTCCCCGTAAAGTGCGAGGTTAATAGGGGCGCATCAGTGTCTGTGTGTCCCTTAGGTGTGACGGATTCGCCATCGTAACGTCACATGTTAACTTCGGGAAAACCGGGCGTGCAGTGGACAAGGGACCGTTTCGTCTTCACCACTTTTAAAGTCTAAAGCCATTTAAAATAAAATGTTTAGGTATTTTTAAAAATCAAGATAGTACCCTAAAGAATAGGTTTAATACAAAATTTAGAGCTTAAAGAATTCTAAAAGTTTGACTGTTTCTCTTCATAATATTTTAAGATTTCATTTCAGATGTTCACACTGTGATGTTATCATCTATAACTTGTGCTCCTTTTATGAATAGTCTTGATTTAATTAATGAACAAAATACCTGTGAGGGCTCCTTCTGGGAGATGGAGTGTTCACATTTTTTTTCTAGTTTCCTTCATTTCATTCATTTGAACTTTAGGACCGTGGATTCGTTGGCGGCTTGTAACTTAAATGTCAGTTCGGCGAATGCTTGACCTCCGTCCTCTGCGCCCTCCGTGTCCGCACAAACCCCCACTGAGGCGGCCATGAGGGGACGAGGGGCCCGTGCGTTTGGCAGCATGCTCACCGTCATCCTTGGCAGCGGGAGGCAGTGACAGCAGAACCGGGTCAGAACTTGCCGTGCAGCTGTCGTCGGAGCTCTGTGTTTCAGTCTTCCCCGTGCAAGGCTCCCGTCTTCCAGGCGACGAACGCGTTGGGGGAATGGAAGACAGGAACTTAGCGTTCCGTCCGCTGTCTGACGGCCCCGCCCTTGTCCTCAGCACTGCTCGTGGTGGTGCCATGACAGCCGGTGTCTCTCCGTCGTATCCCCGAGGACCCCAGCCTCCAGCACAGCGGAAGCTGTCGGTGCCTCCCCTGCATTCAAGTGCTCTTGGGGGCATTCCCGACGACGCGTTGGGGGAATGGAAGACAGGAACTTAGCGTTCCGTCCGCTGTCTGACGGCCCCGCCCTTGTCCTCAGCACTGCTCGTGGTGGTGCCATGACAGCCGGTGTCTCTCCGTCGTATCCCCGAGGACCCCAGCCTCCAGCACAGCGGAAGCTGTCGGTGCCTCCCCTGCATTCAAGTGCTCTTGGGGGCATTCCTTGGCATCCGGGCTTGTGGGCTCAGGGCAAAAATGCCAGAGGGGATGGATGCCCCAGGGTGACCCCAAACCAGAGTGATCCTTAGGGTGAGACAGTCTGAGGTCCCCGCCGAGTCCTCAGCCTGCAATGCACAAAGCTGTAAACTGCTGACCGACACACCCCGTTTTGACTTTTTCCGTACCCGTCTCTCTTCCCTGGTCTCGGGGTCCGCTTTGGGAGACCCCACACTGAGACCACATGCAATAATCACGGACCGAATTAATTGATGTAGCAGACGAGTAAGATCCTGGTCACTCAAGGAAATCATCATTCAAAAAGGAAAAGAATATCAGAGCTTCCAGATCACCAAGAACGAGGCACGGAGTGACGGCTGGCGAGGAACACGGGTGGGTGGTGTGGCGTTCACAGAGGCGCTGGTCACCGCGGACCCCTCCCCCACCCTCCCGACTCGGGGCTGGTTTCCGCCCGTGTGACCGTCTGCGGCCCGGCGTTTCTGTCGCATGGCGGGTAGTCAGGCACCCTTATCCTCCGCCAGCTCGTGAACTCGGGGGGGCAGGGCCCACGTCTGTCGTGTTCACTCTTGTGTCCCAGCACCGGGGTCCGTGCCCGGCAGGCAGCCGCACTGCGCAGGTATGTGCTGGACACGGGCTCTCACGCGCCGTCGAAGCAGCAGCTTTCACAAGGAGAAGCGCCAGAGCCTCGGACGGACTTACATCCCGCCGCGGTCCCTCCCTAGCTGTGCCCATCACTTCGCGGCGCCCAGCCTCCGCCCGCCGGAGAGAGGAGGGGGGCACACCCCCCAGGACCGGCACGTAAATTAAACACGGTGACCTCTGGTGACTGGCGTCACGATACAGAAACGCTTGGTCTGCAGTGAGCACGCGGACGTTCCCTTTTGTGGACGAGATGCCGTTTGAGGTTGGGTTGAAATTGGACGAGGAGGAGTGGAGAAGGATGTTTAAATTAACGCGGAATGAGCACGTTCGAGAAGGGGAGATGAAAGACAGCGAGGAACTTAGCAGGGAGCCGTCCGCCGGGACGTGAGAACAGGTCACAGAGAAGCCAGGGCACGGGGTTCGCGAATGCCCCACCGCGTCCAAGGGTCCGACCGTATTCCACGGGCGGGAGTGGGGACCCTTGAGAGGGGAGCTGTCCAGGGGGTGCCTGGAACGAGGAATTAGGAACTCCAGTGCCTGAGGGGACCTCAGGATTGCGACGAGAGATGGGGGAGAGGTTCACGTCGTCTCTCTCGAGGGTGGCAAACCGGTCAGCTGCAGCCAGCGTTTCCCACAGCAGGAGACGCAGGGGCGGCGAGGGGTCCTCCCCGCAGGCCGGGGACTCTGTGTCCTGCCGTTTGACACTCGCTTTGCTGAGTTCTTTGTACAATGATTTCTTTTTCTTCTCCGATGTTTCCCACGCCATCTAAATCTTCCCAAAACGTACAGATCGGTGTAGGCTAAGTGGACTCGTCCGAAGTCCCTTGGAAGTGTAGACTTGGAACTGAGCCATGGGGACAGGTCAGGAGTTGGGTCACTGCCGGCCGGGGCAGTAGGGCAGTCGCCCCCCCGCGCTAAGCACAGCCCTGGAATTGAGGCATCGGGATTGAATTTCTGCTTCCCTGACTTCTTGGTCACGTCCTTGAGCTGAGGTCACGTCCTTGAGTTGAGGTCACGTCCTCATGAGGGAGGAGAGGTAGAAACAGCATCACAGGCCGAGGAAACAGCGGTCGGTCGAGGGCCCCGAGGAGGAAGAGGCGGGGCAGAGGTTGGGGGGGCGAGAAGGCAGGGCTGGCGGAACCCCCGGGGCAGGGTGGACCTTGGGGTGGGGCGGGCGGGAGGGGAGCGGGGTCTCACAGGCTATGTCAGGCGGCTTCTCTCACTGAGTCTTCAGCAGAGGGGTGACATGATTAGATTCGTCCCTGGCGAAACCAGTCTGGACGTGGAGCGGGCATGTGCCAAGATCAGTTGTGGAAGCAGAGACCACTCAGGGCATTAGGGTATTTCTCAGACCCAGAGCGGTGGCCATGGAGGCGGAGAAATGGGTGGATCGGGGACACTTGGGGTGTAAACCCAACACCGCACCCTAATGTGTTTGGGGTGAAGGACTCGGTGTGACAAGGACGATGCCTGGATCTCTGCACCACCGGTCAGATGGTGGTGCACGCAGTTCATTGACACGCGTGCTCTGAACCCCACAGCACAGGGTTGCTCCCCGTCAGCTGTCAGTCAGCTTTTACAGAGACGCAAATAACGAGACGCGTTTGTCCACATGGCTGTCGTTTGCAGTGCACTTCGTCCCCTCGTGCGGGTCCGTGTTTCCATGTTAAAGTTACGCAAATGGTACCTTTCTGTAAAAAAACGTTTAATTTCCAAGTCGCTCCCCGTCAGCTGTCAATCAGCTTTTACAGAGACGCAAATAACGGACGCGTTTGTCCACGTGGCTGCCGTTTGCAATGCGCTTCGTCCCCTCGTGCGGGTCCGTATTTCCATGTTAAAGTTACACAAAGGGTACCTTTCTGTAAAAAAACGTTTAATTTCCAAGTTGTTCGTTGCTGGTACACAGAAATACGGTAACGTGCTTTTTCGTTTTTATTAACTCTGCCTTCTGTGACCTTGCTAAACTCATTTTTTTTTTCAGGTCTGGGAACTTTTTTTGTAGATTCTTTGGTATTTTCTATATAGAAAAATCATACGGTCTGCAGGTGGAGACAGCCTTGCTCCAGCGAGGGCCTCCAGCACGGCCCTGGGTGGACTCGGCTGGAGTGAACGTCTGGTCTTCCCTCGCGCAGGAAAAGCGTTTCGTATTTCCCATGACGTCTGTTAGCAGTCGGTTTTCATACACACTCTGCCCCCAGCTGAGGGAGTTCTTTATTCCTACTAATGTCAGCCTTTTCCCTTCCCTTCTCAGCAGAAGACTCAGAAAGTGGCGTTTACATGCGATTCATGAGGTCACACAAGTGTTACGACATCGTCCCAACCAGTTCAAAGCTTGTCGTCTTTGATACTACCTTACAAGTAAGTGTGCCCAGGGTTGGTGAGTTTTTGGTGTATCCCTCGGATGGCTGCTTTCTGGGGTGATTTCACTGAGCCCTGAGACGTGCCGGCACGGGGCCGAGGTCCCGTCTGACTGCGCGGTCTTCACCGCAGCCTTGTGAGGGACAGGCTGTCACTGTCCTCTTTCTACAGATAAGGGAACTCAAGTTCTAAGGAACTTCAGTCACAAAGCTTGATCTGCAGTTTCTAGTATTTGGGAATTTAATCCGCAGCGTGGTTAAGTGACAGGATCTGGAATTAGAACACAGGTGCCCGATGTGTGTTAGAGCTTCAGCTGTAACCGTTAAGCTGTACGGCCGCCCTCAGTATATCCTGATGCTTTGTCGTCTTGTTTAGTAGAATATATAAATAAGTTTGAAATAGTATTGGTTAAGAGGAAACAATTACTAAGGTGGGTCATCCCGAGAGAACTTTATTGATCTTATAGCGGAAATTTGAACCTGATCTTTTTGGTGTTCAAACTGCTTATGACGGCTCATTTCACGTCATATGAAAAGTCCTGAGTAATGCATGCAGCGCAACGATCAGCTGGCATCCAGCGTCATCAAGTGCGTGTGTGCACGCGTGCACGATGCCGCGTCTGCAGGAGCCTCGTCCCGGGCTGCAGGCTCTCTGCACTCCGCCCCCCTCCCGTTCACCGCGGTGGCGATGGCTGTGGCGAGTCAGGTAACACCCGTTCGGGACGGACGCTCAGGTCGCCTGGTCCCTTGGCAGCTCCTCGTCGGCTGTTCCATTCGTACCAAGGCCCAGGAAGAAGCAGGGACTGTTTCTCAGAAGGAAGATAACTCAGCAGGCGGAGGCGTGGCTCTTGGCTGTCCCCTCCGCCCCAACCCCTAGACATGTGCCCTCTGACGCTCCCTTGGTGCTCAGCGGGGCTCCGTGCAGCCCGCTCGCTGTGACTGCTGGTCCTCGGCCGTGCAGGGCGGGGCCCCCACCTGCTGCAGAGACTCGCCCAGCTCTGGTCCCCTCGGAACGGCGTCTCTGGGTCATTCAGTAAATGTGTCACAGCGGCCACTCGGGTGCACACGGCTGCCAGGAGACCACCCAGGTGTCGTGTGGCCGGCAGGGAGTGTGCAGAGTGACCCCTCGAATTTCTCTAGGAGGCGTGTCTAACGCTCGGCCAGTGCTCCCCGCACCCCGAAACCCCACGCGCTGGTTGACGTATGTCTCGCAAGGCATCGGAGGCATCGCTGCTTCTTGCCCGCCAACTCCAGAAACCAGTGTCATCAGCGTGGCAGCCAGCGGCCTGTCAGGTTGGCAGCATCTGCGGACGCCGTTAGGGCAGAGAGCGAGAGGGTGACCGTGCGCTGTGCCCGCTCCAGGCAGACGGCTCCAGGGCCGCAGGACTCCGTGGGGAGAGAGCAGGGGTCTGGGCATTAGCGGCAGGCAGGTCCCCCGAGATACGCCACACGAGCTGGCACACCACACGGCACGTGCACATTCTGGTCCAAGGCGTCAGAGTCCCCTTCCTTGGTCCCATGTCATTAGAAGCTGAGCCCACACTGATTTCCCAGTTTCTGCAGGTATGAAATAGCACAACCTTATCGTTCTTTCTGAGTAAGCCATCCCTCTCTGGAGCGTGCTGGACTGTGTCCCTGTCACAGGTCTGGTGGCAGCAGGGGAGGCCGTGGGTGTCTGGAGAATGAGTCATCGCGTGCGAGGCATCTGCCCAGGAGGCTTGTCTCTGGGCTCCCGAGCCAGCAAAAGCGGTTCTGCCACCGCAGAGCCGGCCGTTTCCACTGCCCAGGGGGCCCAGCGTGGCCCCAGGACCCAGGAAACTGGGCTCCAAGTCCATCCAGCGTCCCCGGCCGCGTTCCAAGGTCACGCGCCTTCCAGTTAGTGCCCGAGACGTGAGGCTGAATTCGGTGGCGGCAAAGTGTAGAAAATATATACCAAAAAGCATTTAATCCAAAGTAAGCTCAGAAGAAGGTGCGGCCCAGAGGGGCTGCCCGGGTGGCCCTCATCGGGGATGGGTAAGACCCCCCGGGGGAGTGAGGAGGAGAGCCCCGCGCTCCAGAGTCACGCCGCAGGCGCCGGAGACGCCCAGCAACTGCCTCGTTTTTCGTCACCGAGGGAAACGATCTTCGGCGTGGACCACGGGCAGTGAACGGCGCCGAGAGGGAGTTGGAGCTCGGCGTGCGGATTTCCGAGGACGCCCGTCGGCACGGTCCGTTTGCTTTCCGACACGGATGGACCACGGTCCCAGTGTCGCGGGGTGGGTCACCAGGCCCTCTCTCATCGTGGTGGAGGGCGTTCGGAGGAAGGTCTGCTGCCAGAGGCTAGAGGCGAACGGGAGGAAAAGATCGATTTCTCAGAAAACGGTGGGTGGGAACGTGGCGGCAGTCCTGTGTGAGACCACCTGCCTGCCCGGCACTCGGAACTGTCACGGTGTGAATGAATCATTAACAAAAAATAGAAGAAGTCGTCTTCTCTAGGAGCCTATCATGAATTGACCAAAAAACAAACAAACAAACAAAAAAACCAATGCACCTTTCTGGACTCTTCCATACATGTGATATGATGTCACGACAGGCACACCTGGTTCCGGCTGGATCGTTGACAGAGCCTCGTGTGACGTCCTGATGAGTGAGATGCAGAGTCTGGCAGCCCAGCGAGTGAGTGACTGGCTCACTGTGACCTCACAAGAATGTCGATTGAATTTCAGCCAGCCTGGATCAAGGTTCCTAGTTGAATTGGGTGCCTCTCGTGGGCCGTTTTTAAATCTTCTCACGCTGCCCGCTCCTCCAGCCAGCACGTGCGTCAGGCCAGGCGTCTCGTCCGGCACTGAGCACGCAGGCTCCCTTCACCGATGGCGGACGGAAGCGGCTGGGTAAACACTCCCCCGTGCCCTCAGGGTGGACAGTCCCGAGGAGATCCCCGTGGAATCCAGCGTCAGTCCCCCGGTACTTGTGGCCAGCTCCGTCCCCCGTCCACGTCCTGGCTCGCCGGCCAGCCTGTTTCCCATCTTCCGTCCTCCACCCCCGCTCCTGGGATCGTGTTCCCGGTGAACTGCCTGCGAGCCAGGCTCCGCCTTCTGGGGACCCGAGCTAAGAAACGGCGTTGGACACCACGGATTCTTCTCCGTAGATGACTTGAAACCAGGCGGGGTGACTAGTAATAATGGACACTCAGAGATGTTCCTCAACAAGTTAACGCATCCGTGGGGCCCATGAGTAAGTAGATGAGTGACAGCATGTCAGTATTCTGGAAAAGAGGACGGGGGGCAGAGCACTCTGGGAAGGCGAGGGTGGGCACAGCATGGCCCGGATGCTCCGTTTGTAGCCGCTGTAAATCTGGAATTGTAGAATTCCAGAATGAAAGTCATTTTTATTTAGAATTTTAAAGACACCGTTTCACATCTTTAGCTGCCAGTGTTGATGAAGAAGAAGCCATTATGTCTCTTTTTTAATCTCCACGTCTTTTATATGTGATTCCCCCACCCTCCGAAGCTTTTGGGGGTTTTCTCGTTCTACCTGATGCTCCAGGATTGGACGCCCACCTGCCTTGCGGTCTCCCTCGTTCTGTGCCAGGCGCGCGGCGTGTGTGCCTTTGGGACCTGACGCGCGTGTCGCTCAGGTCACCTGTGCTGCTCCCGCGGTTCCCTCGGCCATTTCCTTCCTGGAGTTTCCTTCCGGAACTTCAGTTAGCAGACCGGGGCCCCCTGAACTGACCCCTGACATGCTCGTGCCATCTCTTCCCCTCGTTGCTTCGCGTTCTGCTTCTCAGGAGGTCCCTTCTTTTCCTAGCCCAGCGGGTGCAACGGATGCAAAACCCAACCTCCGCCACCTCAGCCTTCGCGGTTTGTCCCGCGGCTGCCCACTCGTAGCTAAGCGTGAGCACCAGCTGTTTGCGCGGACACGCTGTGTTCACTGGCGGGCTCCTCGCCTGGTGCCTCCCACTGGAGCCTGGCAGGCCAGCCATCTTTTCGCTGGAAGCCCCCAAGTGATCATAGCTGAATTTTATTTCTGGAGCCGTTTCTCCAGAAAATAAGTCTTCGATCCTGTTTGTTTTTAGACCTTGTGCCTTCCCCTGCCAGCACAGCCAGAGAATCCAGTCGTGGGGCTGCTGTGTCCAGGGACAGATGGGGCTGCATCTCCCGACACATGACTGTCCCCAGCTGCCCCTCCCGCCCCCAACACACACACACACACACACACACGGCTCTTCCTCCTCGTTACTCTAAACCTCCCTCCATCTGCTTCTTGCCTGGATCTCCTAGTGCAACCTGTTTCCAGCTTAGGCTCCCTGCAGTTTGGGGATAACTTTATCAGAAATGTTCTTACTCTGCCATTTCTAAACCTAAGGAGTCACAAGGGAAACTCCTGAAGTAACAGGAAGGAGATAAATTAGGTACCGTGGGGGTACAGGAGGGGCGTCTCAGGTGTGGGGTGTTGTGACAGGTTTTGTTGTAGAGTTAAAGATGAACTAGGTTTTGACAGATAGAGTTGAAGGTCGGTCCGTTCGAACAAGAAGGAACATTGCGCCATAGAGGCAAACGCTTGGAAGACGAGCTCGGGGACCGAGGAGTCCGGAAGCTGTGGGGCGAGGCCGGGGCTGGACCGCAGGGGAGTCGGGGGCCCCCTTCCCGAGAAGCTGGCCCCCAGGGGAGGGCGCTCACAGGCAGGAAGGAGGGACGCCGTCAGGTCGTGAAGTCCGTCTGACAAACTCTGATGCAAAAATTCGGGAGGAAACCAAATCGGACAGCTTTAAAGAGCTTTTTACTTCTCAGCAACATTAATTTTGAAAGCCCAGGGATCCACTTAATTACCGACAATCAGGATAGAACTACGTAGAGAGCGGAGAAGCCGCAGGGCCAGGTCCCGTTTTTCTGGAGCGCAGATGCTTGCTATTTTTAAACTCATTTCTGTATTAAAAATTTCTGTGTTATCTAATTATCACACTTGGTTGTTTGAAAACCCTATTAGAAAGTAACTTTTAAAGTGGTAACAGTTTGAGCAAATTGCATGTCAGTTGACAATTTTTCAGCGCTGCTCGCGACCCCGGAGAGCATTTTCGAGTGCCAGCCCTCTCTTTAGCCTGCTTCTGGTAATTGGTGACACCCTGTGCCTTCCATAGTTGTGAAGGATTTCCTAATTATAGTTTCAAATTGCTCCTCAAACAACTCCATGCACGTGTGCAGGAAGCCAAAGAAGGCTGCATCATCCCAGAGAAGGGACAGCCACGGCCCAAAGCAGCGGCTGCCACCGAGCTGGGCACGGGAGGCGGTGTGGGGAACCAAAGCATTTCGTCTCCTTGGCTCTGAGCGCCGATAGCCACGCCGGCTCTCCTCACACACAAGCCCGGGGGTCCCCGCGGTCACCTGAGAGTCCCATGTCCGAGCTCGGCACGTCGGGGCCGAAGACGGAGTTAGAACCTGGGCCGAGGAGAAGCTGGCCAGTCGGCGGCGTATCGCTTCTCTCGGGGCCCTCTGCCCGGCGTCTGCTTGTTTTACCGTCTCGCCCAAGTGCGGGCAGTTTCGCCTTAAGGTCTCACTGTTCCCTTTGCCGTGGGACGGCTGCTCCATGGGTTTTGCTCCCCCCCCCAGCCCCCCACCACCCGCCGTCGGCCCGTTTGGCGTCAGCACTGTGTCTCTGCTCAGAAATGACTGCAGTCAGCACACTGGTCAGTTTCTAATGTCCACGTGATGGCCCGTCATGTGTCTGCTGTTTCTGAAAGAACGGTCATTACATTTGAATGTTAAAGTCGACCCCCGGCTTGCACCGGTGTCCGCGTCCGCCCGATGGTCGCTCCTTTCAGAGTTACTGCTAACCGATTTCCCCGCTCTCCGATTTTCTCTCGGCCTTCGACTTTGAGCATCTTCTCTGTGATGTGCTTATGTGTGTTTTTCTTCGTGTTTACCCTGCCTGGGATTTGATTCTTCTTGATAGATTCCGGTTTTCTGCTGCAGTTCGCCTATTCGAAAACGATGTGCAGAAAGTCCTCAGAAAAAGCCCACGGTGACTGTGGAGCTCGATTTCTAGCCTTTGTTTTTCTCAAGAACTGTAGCTTCTTGAGCGTGGCCTGCGCCCTGCAGTCGAGCGCGGTCAGATCGCCACTGGTCTGTTTCATCCAGCTCGTTCCGTAGTTTTCATCATGGCCCAACTCAGAACTCTCCGGAATGGCTTTTCAACAGGTTCGGTCACTTAGAGTTTCGTGAGTGGTCCTGACGAATATTCCGTTTCAGTACTGGTTTTCGCTGCTAAAAGATGCCCCTACCCGCTCCCTCCTCCAGCCCGTTTAGAAAAACAAGCTAAGCAGATACGTCATGTGTTTTAACATCTGTTGATTTGCGACTTCTCCCCCACATGCTTTGATGACGTTTTCTAGGACCACAGGCAAGGACTCCCAGAAGAGCATCCAGGTAGCCCGCTCAAACTGTCACACCGTCCCTAGGTGCCATCTCGTTCCCCAAACAGTGTGGATATGTTTGCAGCTGCGGTTCAAAAAAATATTTCATCGGCCGACGGGGCCATTGAGTTACCTACCGTTTCCCTCCCGTGTCGTTGGATCGATTCCGCTCACCCCCTCTCCCAGTTCTGTCCTAGCTCGTTCGGCTGGGAGACGCTGCCCACGGTGCTCAGGACAGTGCTGGGCTGCGGTCAGGTCGTGCAGGAAACTGAGACCCACCGGGCACCTGCGTAAGTCACTCTGCATAAAGGCAGAGTTGGCCGCATGAAAGGCATAGAAACACTCAGGAAGTTATGAATGCTAGTCTGATTCGCAGCTCCAGTTCCTGTAATTTTCTCATTTCGTTATTAAGTTAATGGGTTTGGGAACATACTGCGTGACAAAAGAATCATTTTCTTTAGTTAAAAACTATAAAAAAAAAATTTTAAATAAATACGCTTTTACTATCTCGGCTCCTTAATTTAGAAGTTTAGATTTTTTTGCTGATTTCTCTTTGACCTTTTCCATTGAAATATGTATTCTATGCGATTGTAATAGATAATTTTATAGTCTGTATTTTTCACTGCCATAAACGATTTTTTTCCCTCACAGTCTTCATAATTATACAGTTCGCTACTTTTTTCTCATTTGTTATGCCAATGTTTAACGAGTTGTCTTTTGTTGGGGCAGATATTTTTCCTGTTTTCAGTATTAGAAATAATGCCCCATTGAACATCTTTAATTCAGGAATCCTTTTCCTAAAATTTCAGTATGAGTAAATAATTCAACAGTATGAATATTTTAGTGATTCTCGATAGAAGCCGTGGCTCACGAAACATTCTCACATCTTATGGTGCCCCCCGTGGTTATACAGCAGCACTCATTGGGTGCTATCACGGAAAAGTACTGGCTGATTTAGCAGCTATACGGGGTACTTTAAATTTGCCTTGATTTTCCTTTCTTCGGTTATTAATAAAACTGAACCGTTTTCCCTATGTTTATTGCTCTGTATCTAGAGGATCATTTGAAGGACTGGGCTTTTGGCTTTTAATAAATCCTCGCCTCTGACGCCTCCTTTACCTGTCACGGTCCCCGGAGCGTGTTTGCCATGAGGATTCAGTGAGATAGCACACGTGAGTGTGCTCCGAACTGCCCCACGGGGAATCCCTGTCTCTCGAAGACATAAAAGGACACGCAGATAGCGTCTGTCACACGTTTCCTTTCGCAGCCTCAGGGACATGAGAAAGTACACTTTGTTTTGTGAGCGGACGGATGAAAAAGAAATTTCCATTTCAAGTCATTTGCTATAACTTCAGTGTTTTCAAGTGAGCTAATAATAACCACGTAAGAGAAATTAAACTCTGAAGTATAATTCTTTTATGTGGTTTTAAGAACTATATAACGTCTCCTTGTGTACAAGCGTTTAGATACAGGAAAACATTTTTTGAAATTGTTTTGTTTCGGTTTCAAAAAATAGTCTCCAATCCCTGTGTAATACAAAAGCGTTTTTGCTAATGTTAATAAATTGAGTTATTTTAGTTTACCAGACTTAGAAAACTCAGTGTTGAGGATATCTGATAAGATGTGGCTGAGTGTTTTGTCGAAGGCGTCTTTCTCCCTGACGTGTGGCCTTTAAAAGTACGTGTCGTGTCTCTCACCCACCTTCACGCAGGTTAAGAAGGCCTTCTTCGCCTTAGTAGCCAACGGAGTCCGGGCGGCGCCTCTCTGGGAGAGCAAAAAGCAAAGCTTTGTAGGTAAGCGGGGTGCCCGGAGGGAGTCTGAAACGGGGAACCTTGGAAGCAGGAAACCTAAGGCATTTTAACAGATGCTGGTTGGAATTCAGCTTAGTAAACCTGTTTCCAAATCAAAGACCTTTCTGGCTTTTGCCTCCGAGTGAGGTAGGGCCGCTAGTAAATTCAAAAACACATACTCTATTGAGTTTCTTTTTTACACGTATTTGAGTTTCTTTTAATTCAGCACCTTGTCAGTTCTGGGCCAGTTCTGTGCCCAGGGAGAGGGGGAGGCTGTGGTCAGACACCAATCGGTCGGCCGCCTTTGCTCACGTTTGCACACCTGCGATCCATCCCTGCTCCCCCGTCGGATGAACAGCTTTTGACGGGGCAACCAAATGGCATTAACGTGATTGATACCTTTGCTGAATCACTGTTATACTGTCAGAAACATCGTGTAACGTACGATACCCAAACTCCATAGTTTCTCATCTTCTAAATCGCAGCAGGCAGTGGCTGTCGGCTCTCTGGCTGTGCTCACATTACTGTGAAATTACCAGTGAGCGTCTGCCTCCCCCTCGGTCACAGTTCCCTCTGGGGAAAGGGCCACATTGTCTTCATCGTTGTGGTCCTGGCACCTGGCACACAGACAGCACTTAATACCGTGACTGGCAAAACCACCGTTTTTAGCATGTTTCTCAGGAAATGACCCACATGTCCCCAGAAGTGTCACGTTTCTAGAGTTTCTGGAATATTCTATATTTTACAGTATTTGAAATTATATGTAGCTGCAAGTCTTTCGTGATATTTTATAATGTTCATTAAGTTTTCTCTCATTGAATTGCCTAATACTGCGATTCATTCCATTTACTGTCGAGTTTAATTTCAGCTTATTTGTGTATCTTAGTTGGGTATAGACAATAACATTAATAGTTTTAAATAACACATTAAACTGTGCTTGACATGGGTTCTTTAGAAGCTTTTCTGGTAACTTCCAGATTTGCCTGTAATTTGAGATTTTTCATTTACGTTTTCATAGTTTCCTATTTAACATATAATTCTTTGTTCCAGGAATGCTAACAATTACAGATTTCATAAATATACTACATAGATACTATAAATCACCCATGGTAAGTGCCAGAAATCCTGATGTCACCGATGGGAGCTGTGTCTTTCTGTGTGTGTGTGTAGAGGGCTGTGTGTGTGGGCATTAAGATTTCGTTTTTTCTTTTTTTGGTTCAGGGATGGAGGTTGGTTTTTTCCAAATACATATATATGAGGTGCAAGAAGCCTGCCCTTCTCGATGTGGCTTCTCTTCTTCCTTAACTTCACTGTCACACTCCCCCGTCCTCGGTCCCTGCAAGTCGAGATTCCAGTCTTGCGGAATCAGGTGGAAGGATCACTTCGGTGATGGAGAGGTCCCTGTGTTAGTGCCCTCGGGCAGAGCCGGGCACCATTCAGGTGCGGCGCTCCCCTTAGTGCCCCGACGGCACTCCCCGGCTTGTGTGCCGGTCAGTTGTCGTGCAGCGTTTCTCAGCTGGCAGTGATTTCGTCCCCCAGGGGACATCGGACCATGTCTGGAGACATTCTCGGTGGTTCGAATGGTGTGCAGTGGGCAGAAGCCAGGGACGCAGTGCCCAGGGCCCAGGGCGGCTCCTGCCGCAGAGTTATCCAGCCCGTGAAGTCAGCGGTGCACAGGTGACAAGTGCTGTTGTGAGGGTGTCCGGGTTTCCGGCTGGATTGTGCGTTCTTGACGTAGAGACTGCGTCTTACCCATCTTTGCACCTTATACACACATACACACACACACACACACACACACACACTTCCCACCTAGCATCGGAACTTGGGGGCCTTCTTATTCATTCTTTCATTCATTCATTCATTCATTCCCCGTTTAGCCTCTAAGCCCCTTGCTGCTTCCTCCCGTTGCCCCGGCACCCCACGACCCGCATGCTACACCTGCCTTATTGCCCTACACTTGGTCTTGCGCTGGCTCCGGCGCTGTGAAAATCACCTCTTGGCCTTGTTCCGTCACGTTGTTCACGGTCAGCGCTGGCCTGGCCTTCTCTCCCAGACATGGAGCCCGCCATCAGGCCGTCGGGTCACCGTCAGGCGTGTCGGGGCCCATGTCCCTCGCCCCACCCTCCTCTGCACCTGGCCTTTCCCTGCCCCGCAGTGTGGGGGAGTCTGTCCTCCCGGCCTTCACGGCTCTCATGTGAGGCCCCCGGGCACGCAGGGCCTGGCTGGAGCTGGCCTCCTCCGCGGCTCCTGGCCTCGCCTGTGCACCCCGCCTTCTCTGCGCCCGGCGCTAAGCCTGTCGGAGCGACCGAGTATGCGTTCTGTCTTCCGTCGCCAGTGGCATCGCCATCACGTTGCCCACCAGTGGATCTGAAGCTTCGCGAAGGGGCCCCGTACGTCCCCATCCAGTGCTGGCAGGAGGCCTGCTCATTTCTTTAAAAGCTGGGGTGGGAGGCTGTGGGGGGGCAGGGGGAATATGGGGCGCTGAGTACCAGGCCCTTTGTCTCACGCGCCCTTTTAATCCAGTTGTTTGGGAAGGGAACAGATTGAGAGAGGTTAAGTAACTTGGCCAAGAATAGCCACTAGACAGTGGTAAGATTTGAAACAGCTGAGGACTCCACAGTGACTTTGTGTTAACTGCCCAGGCATCTTTGTAAAGTGGCGTGTTATGGGCCAGGCGTAAACTGCCCCAGCAACTTAATCCGAGCACCTGGTTTAACCAGTTGCCCTTTTTAAAAATCTTCTGCATCCTCAGAAAGAAGGAAGGAGTATATATGTCCATGTGTCTAAAATTTAAGTGTATCAGAAAATTCCAAATTAATGAAAATATACTGGCTTATTGTTTTAAATTTATAAAACATTTATCTTGAAAAAAATGTATTTTGTTTTTCGTATTGCCAATATTTCTGAATTATCTTCTTTACATCTGCTGAATTATGGGACTCAGCAGTAGTTACGAAGTCTTTTTTATGTTGTATTAACACTTATAAATAAGGTTTTTTCTTATTTCCAGGTACAGATTTATGAATTAGAGGAACATAAGATTGAAACATGGAGAGGTAAGTATAAAACTTTTCATATCGGGGAAAAAAGTTCTACTTAGTGTGTAAGATGTTTTAATTTCACAGACCCTTTCTTTCTGCTTAACGATTAACTACATTAAAACTTATTTCTGTCTTAGTGTTCTAGCACGCCATATTACTATACGCATTATGCATTCTGTTTAATAGAAATTTATAGAGAACGGGCAGCAAGTCTTCATACTCAGGCTGGGAACATGAGGGAGCGAGCTGACCAGCACCCCCCCTCTGCCCATTCACTACTAAGTATTACCACCCCCTCCATTTGCCCCTATATAGAAAATGCACCAAAGAAATGCCTGAGATTAAGAAAAGCAAAGACCTGTTTTTACATTTAATAATTATTTCTTTACAAATTATGGAGACACATAAAACAAATAAATCTTAAACCAGATGATCTGGATCAAATAACACGAAAACTTCAAGATTGCTTTCTTCGTAACATTGAAGTTCACCCTTCATCATGACAATACCCTTTGCTGAAATAGAGGCATTTTTTAAGTGGCTCAATGAGACCCATCATGCTGATGGATGGAGAGCCGTCAGCGGGAATGCCGTAGATACAGGCCTGTATGGGAATCACCGAGGAGGAAGCCTCTGCCGGTGTTCAGGGAGAAGCCTGGATAGAAATGGAGGGACCAGCTGAAGGGAAATTTTGAATTTAAAATCGAAATTTAGCTTTGTACTGCCCATAATCTGCTTGGTAGGATAAGGAGTCTTTGTGACTGGCTGTGAAATCTGAACACGTTAGTATTCTCTAAAGGGCTAGGACTCGTAATTCCATATGATTTGATGGCTTTGTCACGAAACAAAACTAAACAAAAGTAAGTCGACATGGGATCCATATCTTAGCACGGCCTGTTATGAAGATAATACGTAACAATACCAAGACACATAGCTCCCATCAGATTCTACTGTGTAAGTAACGTTAGGCCAAGGTTTGAGTGTATTTACATTTTGACATTACGTAGTTATTCAGTACTGACAATAACATCAGGACATCCTTGAATGCCATCTCTATAGAAACTTCAGTCAATTATAGTTGATCTTTACAAGGATCATTTCTACTAGAAAGATCCCCAAGATGCAGATTTCGAGCATTAGTTTGGTAAAAGAAAACTTAACATTTTAAGAACAAAGTCTGCTATAACTTATTTAACTTAGGAAAATTAGTTCTGAAGGGTTTCATTAATGCTTAGGCGGTAGTAACTCGGAAGCATTCCAGTGACCTCTGCTTTTATTGGTTTTTTCAGATTTTTCCACTTCTGATTTTTATATCTCTTATAATACTGGTTTTAAATATTTAATTTTTCCACAAAGGCAACATCCTAATAACCGTTTGGAAGTTGTTTAAAATAGCCGTAACTATAACACAATAGTTTTCAGTATCTTAAATTTGATTTGGGTTTTTAATCCTTATGTCAATAAATTGAAGGGCATTTTAATTTCTGTAATAATTGCAAACAGCAAATTCATTACTAATTGCATGTTTTCTTTCTATAAATACAGAGCTTTATTTACAAGAAACATTTAAGCCTTTAGTGAATATCTCTCCAGATGCAAGGTAAACTTGTAAAGTTTTCTCCTTTGAAAGTGTTCATTCATTCAGACTCATCTGTTCTGTTACCGTGATTGATTAATGTTTTTATTTAGGTAAGGGCCAGCCTCCTTAAGTCTGATACTAAATTCAGTAAATTAGAGACAGTAGAAATCACAGCCATTGCTGGTGCAGAGGGCTGTAATGGACCAGGAAGATGGTCAAATACGCAGCTGCGCATCAGGCCACCTGCAGCCTGTTAGGACCGCAGACTCCTGGGCTCCGCCCCCGGCCGTTAAGCCAGTCTGGAGAGTGGCGCCCAGGAAATGCGCTAACACAGCTGCCCCGTGGTTCTGACGTACGCTCGAGCTGTCAGTCTCTATCAGACGTTGGTCCAGAGGGGTCAGGAGAGGGGGCCGCCCTCTCGGGGGGGTCCTCTAGCACCCACACGTTTGCATCCAAGCCTTCGGGGTCGGCGCTGGTACATGTCCACATTGGCATTCTTAAGACTCGAGCTCGGGCGAGGAAATGTGGAATGTTACCGTGTCCAAGTCCCAATGGACAGACAGCCGCCACGCCTCCGGCCCGGCAGTCACAGGAGAGGCCTGGCCGAGCGGGGCCGCGGCCAGCAGGCCGTGCAGTCGGCGGCCGGAGCAGGGCCCACGCCCCAGCCGCCTCCTGCTGCTCATGGTGGGGTCCAGTAGTTCTCCTCGGGGCCAGCTTGTCATTCCTCAAATAAAAGCATGAAACGCACTACCAAAAAAAAAAAAAACCGCTAGAGATCTGTAGCTCACACCTGTATCTGAGATTAACACAGATTGTGAAAAACAACTTACCGAGATCTCCAATTTAAACCTTTTCCGGAACACTGTTTTAAGTCAATCAACCTTTTATGATTGTAATATAAAAACACTGAAAATGCTTTTAAAGCAGGGGTGGTCCACAGTTTTCTAATTTTTCTTTAAAGCCTCCTAACAACTTTAATGGCTTTTCCCGCAGCCTCTTCGATGCTGTATACTCGTTGATCAAAAATAAAATCCACAGATTGCCAGTTATTGACCCTATCAGTGGGAATGCACTTTATATACTTACCCACAAAAGAATCCTCAAGTTCCTCCAGCTTTTTGTAAGTAGCTTTTAGTGTTTCTAAAGACATAGTTGCATCTACTTTAATTTACTTCAAGTAAACTGGCTCCTGTTCCCTGAGCAGAAGTGATTTTAAGGTCTCCATTTCTAAACTTCATTTTCTCAACTTACTATTTGAACTGTGCCTTCTCAAAGTTGATTCCAGTTAAAAAGCAGTCACCTGTCAGTGCAAGGACCAAGGTAATAATAAAACACTTGGAATTCTCTCTTTAAATGAGAATACTTCTAAAACGGGGGATTAAAGCAATTTGCAAATCAGTCCAGTTAAGGAACTGCTATATAACTGATAAACTGAGCCAATGTTTGTAGTAAATTCCTTAGGATGCTTTATCGGTATCATGCTTTTTGGAAACTTTCAAAAGTACTGTCCCCGGATTTATCAACTGCAGCATTGAGAGGAAAACCCGCAGCAGGTGACCTTTGGGTAAGAGAGCACCACGTTGGTCCGAATGCAGGCCGTCTCACCTGCAGGTTCCCTCAGCCGCCTTTGAAACGAGATGGCTTCGTCGTCGCCCGGGCTCGGAACCTCTTTGGCTGGCAGTTCTAACGAGGCTGGGAAGGACCAGAGGGCTTTGAGTTTTTCCTTTTAATTACACGCACTGAGTTTGAGGTTAAGAGGAATTGGTCAGCTAGAGCCAGTGGGAGGCCTCACTCACGGTTCAGAGATCACTTGAAGAGTTTTAAAAAAAAAAAGAAATCAATAGACACTAAAATTCTACATCAACCAGGCGATCCCACCTCCTTCTCCGGGGCCTCCGGTGAGGAAGCAGTAGCGTTCTGGGTGACGTGTGGGAGCCCGAGCCCCAGGCCACCCCGCTCCTGGGCACAGGAGCCCAGAGGGCTCAGCTATTGGGAGAAATAACTTTTCCACCAAACCAGTCCTCTATTTTAATACTTTACGTGTAAAAATAACTCTTCACGTTCAAATAAAGGCTAAGAAGATAGGAAGGAGACGTGATTACGGAAAAGCGTGAACTTTGGTAACGAGCCAGCCTCGGCAAGAAGTCGGGACGTGCACTAGTGTAGGCCAGACCTCCGTCTGTCACGCTCAGGCTCTTAGTCTGCCGCGGGCCACAAATACCGTCACCTTAGTGTTGGGGTTTAACAGAACCCTGGGCCAGGCTGTGCTGTCCGGGCCCACAGGTGCCAGGCTATTAGCCCAGTCACCCTTTAATCGTTTTAAAATGCTATTAGTCAGGAGAGCTTAATGCCGGCAAGCATTTATGATAAGTCAAGCACTGTCCTAGGCAGTCCGTGTGATAAAGCTAATCCTCACCACCACCCTCCCAGGTAGGTATTTGTATTAATCCTATTTTCTAAGTGATGAAACTAAGCTAGGTGAAGTAACTGCCCAGGTCACAGCCGGCAGTGGCGGAGCAGGCCGACCCGAAGGCCTGGCTCAGCCCCCGAGGCCTCGTCCCTCCCGCTGTCCTGGCAGGCAGCGTTTCAGATCCTCTGTGCACAGAGGCCCTGGCTCAGGGTCCACGCACCCCGGGCCGCCCCGGTGCAGGTGGCCGGGTCCCCACCCATTTCCGTGGCTGCGCTGCCGCAGGACTGACAGTTCGAGACGGGCTTTCGGTGTCTCCTGCACCGTAGAGGCCGGCTCTGCAGGCGCTGCCTTATATTTGGGCCAATATGGTCGCTAGCATCATCATGCTTTTAGAATATTTAGCTAGATGTTTTCAGATAAAAATGCAGATTTTGAAAGACAGTGCAACCTGATGTTTACTGACTTGTGAGATCGTTTTCTGAGAAAAAGCAGCACTGCCCTTGGAGAGAGTCGGCAGCTAGCCCGAGCACGCAGCGCGGAGCAGGGGAGGTCCCGCGTCGACACGGGCCAGGCGACCTAATAGGTCTCTCTCTTTTCTCTAAATTTCTAGGAGTCTCATGATTTGAATATTGATGAACTCTTTGACTTGAACATTTTGTTTCTTCTAATTGTTCACCTTTTCCTGATAATTATAAGGTACACCAGGAGGATGGAGTCAACTGTACCCTTTATAAAAGGTGGATTTTTGAACCATAGACCTTATTTCGTTTTAGTCAAACGTAATCCTAGACTTCTCTCCGACCTCTCCCTCCTCCTTTAAAGCAGCCCCTGGAAAAAAAATAAATAAGTTAACTTTCAAAGGTGCTCTTAGTTCTGCCCAGCTGGCTTGTCCTTTATTCCCAGTAGACAGTTGGGGTGCTGTGAGTAGCCGCCGACGGCTCAGACCACCCAACCCTGGGTCTGGACGTGCGCGGTCTCAATGCTGCCCAGCAATAGCCGGTGGCCGCAGGACCAGGAGTTAACGGGAGTAATTAAGAGTGAAGGCTGCTTGGTGCCTTCTGGGTCTTAACTTCCAAACAGACCTGCGTTCCCTTCCGTCCCCTTTTTCAGTGGGTGAAAGCAAGGGGGGAATGTACAGCCCTAGAGCTTTGCGGTATTTTACCAAGTAGTTAAACAGAACGACTTGTAAGCTGGTTTGAACGGGACAGTTGTTACACGTCACGTTTTCACGTTAATTCAGGCATCCCAGTAGATTGTTAGGGAAGGCTCATTTGTCGCACGTTAGTGGACATTTGAACATGACGAAGGTCCCTGGGCTCTAGCGCACTTGTCCCTACGCCCCGTTTAGATGTCCGACATGCCAAAGCCTGCCTTCATGAAGCAGAACCTGGGCGCCCTGGGCATCGGCACGTACGACAACATCGCCTTCATACACCCGGACACGCCCATCATCAAGGCCCTGAACGTCTTCGTGGAGAGACGGGTGTCCGCCCTGCCTGTCGTGGACGAGTCAGGTCTGTGTGTGGCCGTGAGCGGAAACAGCTGTGTATCTCATTGGGGGTAAAGCCACTGTTCGATGGCCTCGCGTATGAGATCAGCAACCCAGCATGGGCGATAAGTGGGGGAAGTGGAAATTTAGGGTGAAAAAGCTTCAGCACCCAAGAGCGCTCAGGGAAAGGATTTTCAACGGGCATATTTTCACATTTTCCACTAAGATGCGATTTCATGTTCATTTAAAAAACGACAAGCTAATTTCGTTTAGCAATATGTCATTCCTAATAATTACCTAATGAAGATTGATTTTAAATGTTATCGGTTTCTAAGACATTTTTCTAACACACATTTTCATTTTTAGGAAAAGTTGTAGATATTTATTCCAAATTCGATGTAATTGTAAGTATTATTTTGTTAAACCTGTCATCTAGAATGCATTTAAAACAATGTTTTTATGGTTTTTCCTAATTTAATGATTTCTAGCTTTTTTGATTATGAGGCTCTTATCAGAAAATGCCATAGATTCCCCGTAGTAACTGTATTTCTAACATTCATTGGCTTAGCAGTGAATATTAGTAGCATTTTATAATTCTTTTCAGTCCATGTTTAGCTTGTCCATCACTACACCATATGTATATATTTTAAATGGTCCTGTTTCTGTGAGGGAGACATTATTCCGCCAACAGGCACGTGCTGAGCACGCACGTGAACTTGGAGGTCCCTGGTCACGTACATCCCGTGGTGTGATGATTGGGGACACTGTTCTAAAGAAGACAACAGCAAATTTATTAGAGTTGTGCGAAGTCCTGTTTTTTAATCCCTAGTTTAAATCTACTGGCTCGATTTTAGTGCTATATCTTTCTATCTGATGCTTTTTTCCTCATTCATTGTAAATGCACTTCCTTAGAGTTTTATGTTATTTCTAAGGGAACTGAAACTTGGATAGCCCCAAAGAAGCACACCATTTTTTTTTTTTTTGCCATAATACTGACCCCTGCATTAAATATTCTGCATCTGTCTCAAACCCTTTTTTTTTCATGTATTCTAATAGACACCAAAAAATTGCTTACTGGAATTTGGTTGAGTGGGACCTGCTAAGATTAATCAGAACCCCGAGTTCACTGATGCAGATTCCTCAGCCCTGGGGCACTGGGCACCCCGTTATTAGTCCACCAGGTTATAGAGCCCTCTAAGAATGGGGGGGATCTTTAAAAAGACTTGCAGTCAGAATTTAACAAGGTCGCCTCACGATCAAGGTACTTACACCTTGTAAGTTTTAATTATTGATAAGATGGTGACCGCGGTGCTCACGGCATAAACCGGTACTAAATTCAGATAAGAAGTTATGTGCTTAAAAATCAGACTGCTTTAAACTACGCATTTGGTCACGAATGTGAATCGAAAGGAGATGACTCATTCTGTTACTTTCTTCCAGAACCTCGCTGCTGAGAAAACATACAATAACCTAGACATCACAGTGACCCAGGCGCTCCAGCACCGCTCACAGTATTTCGAGGGCGTCGTGAAGTGCAGCAGGCTGGAACTGCTGGAGACCATTGTGGACAGAATAGTGAGGGCTGAGGTGAGCAGGCTGCGCCCGATTCCTCCCCACCTCCCGCCCCCCGCAATACTGCAGCAAGCACTGACTAGTGATGGCGCCTCAGGAACCCCCAGTGACAGAGACAGCCCATGAGGCCACCTTCGAATTCAGTGGGACAGCACAGGGTCCCTGTTCCAGAACCTGGCATGTCCCTTGGCATATAGTAGGTCACCTGTAAATGTCCTTCGGATGGAATTGAATTTAGAAGTCCTAATAGCATAACGCAATCAAGTAAACTGGTAAAATACATTCACGGTTTAAAAAACACATACTCGAGGAAACAAAAGTCTCAAGAATTTTAGGTCCCACCAGGATATTGTGAGGTTAAAGTTAGAAGTGTACAATTATATGGTTTTAACAAAGTGAATCATAAATTGTAAAATATATTCTGGTCTTTAAGTCATTTTCTCTCTTCAGCGTCTCTCTCTCCTGGTTTAGAGAAACAGTAAACGTCTAGTCACTCTGCCTCCTGCCCGTCAGGCCTCGGGCCCCATCGGACCCACTGCCTGTAGGATTTTCATGTTACTTTGCATGACATGCTGAATAAAAGATAAGTGAGATCATTTTAGAGCTTAGCTAATACAGTATACCTAGTCCCCAAATCATTTTATTCCCTTTTTCATTAGACACGGAGAGAGTATTATCCTGTTCGTCACTCTTTAGGCCTGAAGGATGCACTACTGTTGCAGAAGGAACAAATCCTCATTAGGCAAAATGAATTCATAATAAAAAGTCTGCTTTATTGCTTTTCTTCATAAATGCAAAAGAATATAGTCCAAGAAAAGCACCCGATTCTATTTCGGGCTAATAACAGGCAAGCTTAGCCAGCTTCCTGAAAGGCACATGCGACGGATGTAGTGTGTCGTCGGAACGCAGTGCCCCCTCAGGAGGCTGCGGAGACCCACCCGGCCTGCTTCCCTGGTTTGCTCAGCCCACCCTGCCCTGGCCTCGTCCGACGTGGCTCCCCCAGCTTCGGCCGTCATGGCTTTTAATGTGTTTCAGCAGAATCTCAACACGAAGTCTTTCCTTTTCTGCTTAAATTTAACGTTCATCACTACTTGTTTTTGCGCAGGGTTCTAACTGACTTAGAAATAGGTCTTCCCTTTTATTACTGTCCTTAGAATTATGTGCATAATTCAAAGCCACGTCATAGAAGACGTTGCTATGGAAAAACATCAGCACGTTGCTGGAAGGCCAGTGACGGGGGTGTGTGTGTGTGTGTGTGTGTGTGTGTGTGTGTGTGATTCCGTGTGCTGGTTCGCATGCAGCCACACGGAGCAGAGGCGGGCACCGGCGCCACAGCGTTACCGGTGGCTGGCCGCGTGGCGGCGCTGCGCCGTGCCGGCGTGCTCCTGTGTGAGCACATGTTGCTGTCGGGTAAAAGAAAAAAGTACCTGGCTGGTCCTTTAAGTTCATCTGGTGAACAGAAATCTCACCGTAATGAGAAATAGATCATCGAGGAAAACAAAGATGTAATTGAACAGCTTTCTCAGGTTATCCATCTTGACAGTTTTTCCTCATTAAAATAATTCCTTTCGCCAGATGACTCCTCACGGCGGGGGGTGGGGGGACGGGGCCAAGACCAGTTTTTAGCCTCGGCATTGTTAGGAGAAGGGCATGCGGGATCAGCCGTGAATGTTTATGTTTTTTTCCCCCCTGAGTGATTTGCATGCAATGACTGTTTATTTATATGACACACGTCACACTGGCTTTTAGATACCTCATCCGCAAAGTTTAGACTCAGCCACAGATGCTGAGAAAATGTTTTGGTAGTCATTTCTGTCCGGCAGAATTAATTCTCCAGGTGACGTGGTCCCCCTGGCCCTTCAGTAGGTCACACAATGGTTACCGCTGACGACAGACTGTGTCCAGTATTGACTATGAAACGCACTGTGTCCCAGACGGAAATCTTCATTTTAATTAGTTGAGAACGGTGTTATGTCATAGGATTATTGAAGAACCCAAGATTTTCTAAGGAACTTTTAAAAGAAATTTATGTTGATTGGCGCGAGGAAGATGACAGTGATTTTAACCTGAAGCAGGCCATGATGTCAGAAGCACGACCAGCGCAGTGTCACTGGACACAGAGCTGCGAGACGGTGGCACGAGGGCCCTGAACCCTGCCCGGGCCGAGAGTGGTCACTGCGGAGGGACCGCCGAGGGCGGCCCGGACAGCTTCCGACCAGACGAGGGAAGGGGAGCGAACGGGGAGGCGGGGACACTGCAGCAGCAGGGTCGGGGTGCCCCCCGTGAGCCCACTGCCTGCCGGCCCCACCACCCCGACAGGGCGCCGGCCACCTGCAAGGTCACTGCAGCGTGTTCCCAGCCACACTGCCCAGGCCCATCTTGGCTCCGAAAACAGGGAACAGATAAGATCAGGGTGTCACCGCACACATGCGGCCCTCTGCCCAGAGCCGCTCCAGGTGACTGCCCGCCCACCTCTGGCCAGCTTCCCAAAGCCACCTGGCACACACAGCCCCCACGGAGGTCGCTTCTTTTTAAGACTAAGAGAGCTATTTGCCTAATTCATATAAACAAACCTAGAAAGTCAAACAATGTGAAAAGACAGAACGTCTCAGATGAAGAAAGAAGGAAAATCCCCAGGGACCGGAAACCTCAAGGAAATGGAGATAATTTGCCGATAAAGAATTCAAAGAAACTCCTAAGGATGCTCCCCAAACTTGAGAGTGGAACAGAAAAACTTAGGGAAGACTTTCCACAAAGAATTAGCATAATAAAGAGCTAAGCAGTCAGAACTGAAGAATCCAATCACGAAAAACAGGCTGGAAGGACCCAGCAGCGATGCGGTGACACAGGTGACCCAGGTTCTGGAAGAGAGACTAGTGGGAGCCAGGCAGGCAGAACAGCAAAAGGAAAAATTTTTTTTTAAATGGAAAAATGAAGTCACTTAAGGAACCTCTGGGAACAACGTCAAGGGCACGAACCTTCGCACTAGAGGGCTGCCAGAGGAAGAGAGAAAGGAACAGACTTTATTCAAAGAAATGATGGCTGAAAACGTTCCTTACCTGAGAAAGGAACAGACACCCAGGTCCCGGAAGCGCAGAGTTTTCCAAACACGAACTCAAAGACTCACCAATCCACATTCTCATTAAAACAGCAAAAGTTCAAGATGAAGAGACAGTTTTTAAGGCAGCGAGGGGAAAACAACTGGTTACAGACAAAGGAAACCCCACAATGTTGTGGGGATTTCTCGGCAGCAGCTTTGCAGGCGGCTGGCGGGGAGCGGCCAGCATCAAGTGCTGGAGGAAAGGCACCTGCAGCGGGAATAATTTGCCCAGCAAGGTGATCGTCATTCGGAACCGAAGGAGAGAGGGTTTGGACAAGCAAAAACTAAAGGGGTTCATCGTGTTACGTGAGCCTTACAAGAAATATTAAAGGGTCTTTTTTAAGCAGGAGAGGAAAGTCCATAACCAGAAATAAGAAAATACGAGAAAGGAAAAAAATCTCACAAGTAAAGGCAAATAATATAGCATTTCACACATTTCGAAAAGCCACTACAAAGGTAAAAAACTTAAATGTAAGACCCGAAATCGTAAAACTCCTGGAAGAAAACATAGGCAGTAACTCTTGGACGTTAGTCTTAATTTTTTTTTTTTTTTAATGTCCCCTTGTGCAAGGGCAATTTCCAAAAGAACAAGTAGGACTACGTCAAGCTAAAAAGGTTTGTAGGCAGTAACTCTTGGACGCTAGTCTTAAAATTTTTTTTTTTTTTAATGTCCCCTTGTGCAAAGGCAATTTCCAAAAGAAGAACAAGTAGGACTACGTCAAGCTAAAAAGGTTTCGTAACAGCAAAGGAAACTGTCAACAAACAGACAACCTACTGAGTGAGAGAAGATATTCACAAACGATACATCCAATAAGGGGTTAATATCCAAAACACACAGAAACTCATACAACTTAACACATACACCAAAAAAAAATCCAACTTTAAAATGAGCAGAGGACCCGAATAGACATTTCTCCACAAAGAGGACATACAGATGGAGACGGGCATGTGAGAAAGATACGCACCATCACCAATCGTCAGAGAATGCAAATCACAACCATGATGACATACCACCTCACACCTGTCAGAGTGGCCATTGTCGGTAAAGCAACAAACAACAAGCGTTGGTGAGTGTGGAGAAGGGGAACCCTCTGCACCGTTGGTGGGATTGCGAATTGGTGCAGCCACTCGGAAAGAAGTGTGGACTTTCCTCAAAATATGAAAAGTACAAATAGCATATGATCCAGCAATCCCATTTCTGGTTATTTACACAAAAAAAATAATAATAATTCAAAAAGATACATGCATCCTTATATCCACTGCAGCATTATTCACAGTAGCCGAGACATGGAAGCAACCTCAGTGTCCATCGCTAGACGTCTGGATAACGACGTGGGACACACGTACAATGGAATATTACTCAGCAACAACAAAGAAGGAAATCTTGCCATTTGCTGCAACCTGGATGGACCTGGAGTGTATTATGCTGAGCGAAATACATCTGAGAGAGAAACAAATAACCAAATGATTTTAGTTATACGAAGAATCTAAAACAAAACAAAAGAATAAACAAAACAAACCGACCCATAGATAAACAAGCCAATGGTTGCTGAACAGGAGAGGGGTCGGGGACTGGGTGAAAAATATATATATACAATTTCCCCCTCTGTCCATCTCCTCCCTATGCCCCGCACGGTGTAGCAGCGGGGGCTGCGGTGTTGAACCCCTCGTTGGGAGAGGAGGGTCTCCAAGGCCGTAGCGGACCAGCAGTAAGTTCTAAAGCGCCTACGTCCAAGAAGCGCGATGCTTCCTTACCCCTCCCCTGCTTCGAGCGTGTTCTGTAGTGACACCTCAGCATGTCGGCCACTGCTTTCCAAGAGACCGTCGAGTAGAGAGAGCGCAGTCCATTTCACTTTACTACGGCCCACTCATCCTCAGTGTTGTAAGATGCGAACTTCACAGAGAAAAGCACAGTAAAAAATAAACATTCTAAGGGCAACGACCTGTTAGTTTCAGGGCTCATTTCGACGTTTTTCTCATGTAAAATAGTATCCGATAGTTATTAGAAACCAACATATGGTTGTATATGTTGTTGCTTTTTCCCATTTGTGAGATGGATTCGTTCTATGGTGTATGATAATAGTTTTCTCTAATATGTTTTAAAACTGTTTACTTAAACCCTGTCGTGGGTCCCGCTCTTCTCGTGTGCAGGTCCATCGGCTGGTGGTGGTGAATGACGCGGATAGCATCGTGGGAATCATTTCCCTGTCAGACATTCTGCAGGCCCTGATCCTCACACCTCCAGGTACGGGCGCCGGTTTCCGAGCCCCCCACCCCGACCCCCACCCCGCCCCATGCCAGACTGGGGACTGGGGCACAGCAGACGGCTGTTTCTCCACCTCCCACCTACAGGCCGTGGCTCTCCGTGCATTATCCTGTAAACCACTTTCGTCGTCTTTGTGGTTTTGAAGTGTTTTACTCTTCTGCTTGGGTGACAGAGAGAAAAGTCTGTAGGAAGCATTCTGGCACGCAGCCTGTTAGTGCCCAGCAGGCCGCGTAATCGAGGGTCCATTGCCACGTTCGTCATAACCTTTTCCATTATAAACCTAAGACCTCTTCGGTTTTGCTTTAGTCATAGGACTGCTAACTGGAAAACAGGAGGGAAGTCCTTTGGGATCGAACTATTGAAACCATCTACCCCTTAAAAAGAAAATAAGCTTTCTAGTGTTTTGAGTACACAGAACGGAAGACCTAAACACAGACTCTTTTCCATTAATAGCTTATGGACATTACATCACCCACCAAACGGCTTGATGGCTAAACTTGTTTTCTGCCAGAGTCTCCCTGAGCCAGCTCTCAGGTCACAGAGTGCGGAGGGAGGGGAGGAGGGGGCACTGGGGGAAAGGACACGGTGCTGTCCCTGTGTCACGCAGGGTCCTAGTGGGCTGGGCTGCAGGAGTCCTAAAGCCATCAGCCCTCCCCACCCCCATCAAGTACAAACAGGGCAGTCCTGGGCTGCAGAGACCAAGGCCAAGACCGAGACCAAGAGACTAAGTGATGTACACTTTGAACTCTTAGAAGTTAAACATTAAAGTGTGCGTGTGCTACGGGATTGATTTTTCTCTAGTTCAGAAGTCAATCAAACTAGCTAGGACCAGTTTTTACAGTCAGCGACAGGAATCCCTGCCCCCAGCGAGAAAGGTCCAGCCGGACTGCGAACACCGGGGCGCGGTTCCGAGCGGGCGGCACCTGGGGCTCGTCAGAAAAGCACCGTGAGGGGACCCCACACACACATCTTCTGAACCAAAAACTCTAGACATGGGGCCTGCTGCAGCTTAAAGTTTCAGGTATTAGAGAACATGAAACTCACGATGACCTTTATAATCGAGAGATGTTGACAGAATGGTTAAATGAATGTGGGATTGTTCACAGCATTATTCGGGATAACCTCAAAGTGGGACGACTCCAGATACCTTTGAGAAGAGAGAAGAATGGACAGGTTGCCTTCTGGTCACCCAGTGTGGGCTGCTACAGGCAGTGACCTGAGCACACACCCTGGCAGGGGACAACCCCCACAGAGCGGAGGCACAGGACCAGTCCAGAGTGGCCACGGCTGCAGGCACCTGTGCACGACAGGAAGAGGCCGCCCTCCGGGCAGACGCATGCCCGCAGGCACATGACACCGCCTTGGCAGGCGCTGGCCCTAGGGTGGGACACACACCTCTCCCAGGGCAGCCAGGCCCAGCCTCAGTTCCTGTCTGTCCAGCACCCAGGATTCTCTGTGCATCGCGGGCTCAGAGCAAACAAGTTCTTTTACCCCAAGTGATAACAGTTGACGTCCCAAGTCTTTATGCTCTCTGCCTTCGTGTCGCAAACTGTGAGAACGTTGGGCCGGATGAGTTTACAGTTCCGTCCGGATTGGCCGTTTCAGGGTGGAAGTCATTCGTGGTCGTCTGCGGGGCGGGGCCTACTGCGCAGCTGGCATCCGAAGGGTCCGTTACCGGCGATGATGTCATAAAGATGGGGACAGATGAATCGGCGTTCTTGACAGTGTAGTGTGTGTAGCGCTGTTTATTTAGAATGCTCCATGTTCCTGGTCACGGGATGACAGGTGAACACTGGAGGCAGAGCTCCAGCCCCACGGGACTACCTGCGTCAGGTCGGCAGCCGTCGGGCCTGGAGCCGGCCTGGCACGTGCATCCAGCCAGGAGTCCAGCCTAGCGAGCTGCCGGTCACCTCCGGAGCCGCGTGAGCCTGGGCAAGCTGCCACCCCGGTCAACCTGCGCTCCGTCAACTACAGAACACGCAGACCGGCCTTCTGTCCCTTCAAAGATACTTTGAGTCGAAACCAGAAACATAAGCGAAAGCATTGTGTGCGCAGTGGATGAGGCGCCATATCGGGACAAGCACCGCTGGTGGATGTTAGGGAATAATCAGCAGGAGGCCCTTTTAGAAAGCATCCATGTTATGTGAATAGAAGGTACCGGCTAATAGACACAATTCCTCGTTAAGGATGTTGACCGATATAATCACATTTTCTCTTTTTAAAACGTCTTTAGTGGTATCGGCAGAAGTTCACTGTCAGACGTAACTCAGACTGTCCACACGAACCTAAGTCCCTGCGTGTGCAGCCGGTGCACAGTCTGATGGCAGCAGCCACAGGCTTTTAGCCTCTTCATTTTTATAGACTGTTCCTCTCTTTCGAAAGCCCGGCGTCTTCCGTGTCTGATGACAAACGGGAGAGAAGCTGCTGTCACCAGAAAAGCAGAAGCTCTCCCTACCCACCCATTTTAAAGGGCCCTGGCCGAACGTACACGCACAATGCAAATACTCTGCACCTTTACTAAAACAAAGACACGCGTCTTTAAGAATGTTTTAGCAGAACCCTCTTTCAAATTAAATCTCGCACATTTAGAATTACAGGAGGTACGCACTATGGAGTAAAAGCACGCTACGGGAACGGTCCGTGAGGGTGGGAGCTTGCAGCCACCTCTCTGTCACCGCCTCTCTGTCCCCTGCAGCCGCTAGAACATCCCACTAGGACACTGCGGGACACGGAGACAACACCGAGGGGGAGGACCACGGCCGCCGTCAGGGAGGGCATGCGACAGGTTTTCCTATTGCTCTGAAACTCGTTTTCTCTCTTGACAGGTGCCAAACAAAAGGAGCCAGAAACCGAGTGACCGCTGGGATGGAGAAGCCCTCGAGGGGAACTTGAATGACGACTCCAGGTCACACTTTGCCTCGTGAACACTGACTGCGCTGGGGGAGAGGAAAATGGCTAAGAATGTATATCAGGGTTTAGTGATGGGTATTTTCTCCAGTGATGTGGAAACTAAGCATAAAAAAAAAAAAAAAAAAA